GGGCGTCCCCGCCGGGCTCTTGCTCTGGGAAACTTGTCCCCTTCGTCCCCGGCCTAAAGCCGGTAGTGGCGTCAGGAGTCCCTCTCACCGCCTGGGTGGAGGATGCTGCCCTTCCCCTCGCCGCCCTCACGGTTTGCGCTGCTCCGGGGCCGGTACGGGGGAGTCCGGCAGAGCTGCTGGGCGGTTGCTCCTCACGTATGGACTGGTGCTGACTCCGCCCTGTGCCTGGCAGTGCCTTGTGCCTCTGTGATCTCCTTTAGCCGACCTCCATGCTACCTTGACCTCCTTGCTGTGTCTGGGGCCTTGCTGGAGGAGGCCCGGGGCGATTGCTGGAGTGGGTTTGTGGATCCTGCCCCGGAGCACCCAGCTGTCCTCCAGCCGTGTAAACTACGGGGCAGGGGTGTCCTTAGTACCGTGTCTCCTCATCTCCCCAGTAAGCAGAATTAACTGGGCAGGCTTTGTTCACCTTTGCTCAGGTGGCATCTTGCAGGTGACCTGGCCCTCATACATGAAAATGAGACCTGAGTCTTAGGGCTGCTGGGGTGGGTGGATACCACCACCACACTAAAACAGGCTGCAGGCTGTCCTGTCACACATAGGTTATTTTTAAAAAAAGAAAAAAAGAATGTCCCCTGATACTGTGTTTTTAGCCAGAAGACTGCTGCTTGGTCCACAGGTAGCTTAAGCATTAGCCAAAGGCAGGTAAAAAACCCCAAGCCCATTATCAGGAGGCTTCATTTGTTGTATAAAGATGTGCATCTCCAGAAGTTAATTTTAGGGTGCACAAAATTGAAAAGATTGAAAATCAGTGTGCTTAAGCTGGGAATGTTAGGTAACACCAAGGGCAATTGTTTAATATATACACAAAAACTCATGCTGTAAGAAGACAAGCTGAGTGTGAACTCGTATTCAGTGAATGTATTTCTTTTAGGTTTTTTTTATAAAAGTAACATCTATTTTTCATTCTGTTTTTAGGAAGTATTCAACAATAATTAAAATGTCTTCTGCCAAAACTCCAAATGAAAATGAAACACCCAAAGAGAGAAAACCAGGACTGAGGAGTGTTCAAACAACAATGCTCTTACGAGCTGTGAACCCAGAGCTTTTCATTAAACCTGTAAGAGGCTTATTCTGAGAGAAGTTAAATATGCTTGGAGAGACACAGTTGCTTTAAAATAATCATTGCAATTCTGTGTGCATTATATAACCATGTCTTGTTATGCAAGTCACTCATTAATGTAACTAAAAATATTTTTACTTTTTTTCCACTCTGTTAAGAGCTCAGAACATTACATTGTTTATTCCAGCTTTTATGTCACTGTTATATTGTCTGATTCTTTTGCACCTAGCCAAATTGCTTTCAGAAGACTGTTTGCAGGCATAGTACCCATGTAAATGGACAGGTTAAGTAACAGGAGTCCTCTTTCCCTAAAAAAGGAACAAGTCATAAAATGTAAGCTTTTTGATGTGAAAAGAGGGGATTTTGGTAGCGTTTTAATATTTTTTATTTTTCTTGCTTTTATAATTAAGTTGATGATACTCAGGTTTTATTTACACTAGCAGAACCCAGCAAGACTGGATGAAGTTTTGTGCATGTAATAAAAGTAGATGTTGTGACGATAATATATCATCTCTTCTAGAGGAAAATAATTAAGGTTGCTTGGCAGGAGCTGGGTACATTGTCCCAGTAGTATATCCAGCTGAATTGTGTTAGAAGTCTGTAATAGTTACCTTTAGTAATTGGTTTTGGCATGTCCATTCATGATGATTTTTGCAGATGCCACAATAGTTTACTGTTCACTTTCTAAGCCAAGACTGAAGAATGTGATGTTTGTGATGGATGAAAACTGTTTTGACTAAAAATGTACTAACGTTTGTGGGGTTTTTTTTGTCAGAACAAACCTGTGATGACATTTGGACTCATAGCAATTACCCTCTGTGTGGCCTACCTTGGTTATTTGCATGCAACAGTAGAGAATAAAAAGGACCTCTATGAAGCAATCGACAGTGAGGGATCCAGGTATATGAGAAGGAAAACTTCCAAGTGGGACTGACAACGTAAGGAAGGAAATCAGGAAATCAGCAAATCAGCCACAGAACTTTTCAAGGCAACTGCTGTTTTTTCCTCTGTCCATTGACATAATGGATGAATGCGTGTCTTGCTATTTAATCCAATTTAAGTTCCTTTATAAAATGCCATGCCTGTACAAATAAATTGCAATTAAGATGCATGGGAACATAAAAGTGATTTTAAGAATTGTTGTCTGCGATCTCCACAGTATGTCAGAAGACATGCAGTTAACTTAGACATGGAGTCAACACTGGTGAATGCTTTAGAAATTTACATGATAGTTCAGCTCACTTCTCTCTTTTCTTTGATTAAGTGAAAAGAGGGGTTTGTCTTTGATTTTTTAAACAGAAGGCGTAATGTATTGTGTGTGAAAAGAAAAAGCTGATCTCTTGATCTGTTGAAAGTTGATATGTAACAGTGGTGCAAGTAAAATAATTTTAACGCAAGAAAGATCTGATAAAGCAGTCATCGAAGGGTTTTATTTAATAAAGGAATTTGTAAAATACTAGCCAAAATAATCCTTGGATGCTAATATACTCTTTCTTAGAAATGGGAAAAAAAAAATCAGTAGCTAGATGGAGGAGAAAAAGTGAAACGAGTGCTTCTGCCAAGAGAAAGGCAGGAAGGACTCGGCCATTACCTCTACTGTTTGACAGCAGATAGTGGATGTACCAGTATCAGCTTGCCAGTCAGTACATATAACTCCAGGTTAGCCAGAGCTGGTGGGGTTTTCTTGACTAGTCAGCAGGACTGGTTTATTTAAGGTGCATTCAAAAATTAAATGTCACTATATTGCAAAGTACGTTATATAACACTAATTTATTATAGGCTGCTGAACTCAAAATAGGGAATGGAAAGTCTAAAATCAATGGGTTCTTACAGACATGGAGAAAAGGACATCTCAACCTGAACAAGCCCAGTCTTGCCACAGAGCCCCGCGCGCAGGTTGGAGGTGACCCTTGGCAGAATGCTGGCTGGTGCCGCTGTGAGTGCGGCTGGAGGGCAGGTGGGCGTTGTGGCATTTCCTTAGCACATGAGGTGGTCCCCTGTGAGCCTTTACCTTGAGCAAACTGTACAGGTGGGTACTTTCCTGTTCCAGCACTGAGGCCTTCTGCAGTGAGCTCCTCCTGCTACTTTTGTGTGCCCGACATTTCCGAAGCGGTATCCCACTAACCAAACTGCAGAACACGTGGTGGGAGGGTACATACCAGGCCGTGCCCTTTTTCCGCCATGGACCCTTATTAATATTCTAGTTGCATTTTTCTGTTCAGCTCCTCATACTTCCAGACCCATCAAGGGCTCCCAAGAAGCTGATAGACCTCTTTGTTAACCCTCTTCTGGCCAAGGTGGCTTCTGTCAGGCCAAAGAAGAAGGAATATGCAGGGACATCTGCTTTGCCACTCTGGTAATTGCTTTGGGTTTTGTTACCGAAAGGTTTTGTTATTGAAGACGAAAAAGGTGACTGACTGCCTTGAGAGACAGCAGTTGCGCTACGGGATTTTTCTGTTACCTCCCTCTAAATCCTTCACTTTGAACCTGTGGTTTTCCTCCTAGCTGTGTTTTGTAGTTATCTGTATCTTAAATTCAGCTGGGTCTTGGTTTGTCTACCTCCTTCTTCAGAAGGAAAGTGAGCTCTACTTTTGATGAATCTATTAAAAAAAAAAAAGTTTTTACAGCCTTTAAAATCATGTTCTGCTCTGTAAGCCTAGCTGCCTCGCAACAGCAAGGTCTTGGGCAAATCTGAAAGCTTGCAGGTGAGGAAACTACTTGGCTTTTGATTGGTGAAGGAATTTCCAGGTGAAGCCGTTAAATATTCAGAACTATCACATGCTGTACATATCCTGTAGAATATGTTTTGTTTGATAGGATGTGATGGATCTTTAGATTTAATCTGTTCTTTTAAAAATGGTCACACAGGATTTTAGCTCTTTTCAGTTCATTAAAATGTAGGAGTCTTGTATGTTTGCATGAATTTAACTAAATTATTCCAAAACCAGTGCTACAGTAAGCATTTTAACCTGTTTTTCTGCAGGCGTTTAAAATACACACTTTGATCCTTATACTTGCAGATGATTTGAAGCAAGAAAGCCCAGTCTCTCATTTTCACATATTTGTGACTCATGCAGGATTTGGGTTGTCAAAATTTTGAGATACGTTTTGTGAAGTGAATATGGATCTGGAAGTAACTGAGGGAAAAGGAGGAGGGGGGTGAAAGAGAAAGGTGTGGGACTGACCTGGGCAGGATCTAGGCAATGCATATGCCAATGGCACTTCATAGAAAAGCTGTCTGAGATGGGGCCTCTTACCTGTTGGAGGGAGTAAGGTCCTGTTAACCAGGTTAATTTAGAACTGCCCAGGCTGAAGGAAAAGTGAGTATTTAGACTAGTCCTTACTATTAAGGAGCTTCTCCATATTTATTTGTGGCAGCTGCTGTACTGGTAACTCTCTTAATACTCCAAAAATTATATATAAAAAGGAGATAAATCGGTGCAAATACAGAGAAGAATGTAGTAAATTAATGGTGTTTTAGTATTGATACTGGCATTTGCTGGTTTAAGTACCTGATTTATATCATAAAATCTATGTGTGTATAGGGATTCAAGGGAAGAAAACCCTACCCAAACAAAACTACATTGGTAGCAAAATTTGTTCACTCAGCTCTGAAAGCACTGCTCCCCTTTTGCATCTGGAGGATAAGCAAACAGCACCAATAAAATCGCTTTTGCTCCACTTCTCTCAATTTCATCTTCAACATAGCAATAATTATCTACAATGGATGATAGCTGGCTTGCCAGGAACTGTGAGTCAAAATGATTTCCCAGGCAGAGGCTCTTTCAGGTTTTTGCCAATTCCTCATGGTCTGTGCTGGGGTTTTTACCAAGAACAGCAACAAAATGCTATGACTCAAATATCTGAAACAGCAGCTATTGTACTGCTCCTAGAATCTCCTTAGACTACATGGTTTGAGTAGGGATTGTTGACATTCAACAACAAAAAAATGCATTAAAAAGCCAAAGCTTGCTGTGACACTGCTTAACTATTACCAGGGAAAGTTAGTTCTTTGTGAGCAAAGCCAGCCCTGCCTAGTGACAGTTGCTACGTGGGGAGCTGTGTTAAGGCTGGAAGGGGGTCACTCCATACAACCCTCCCTCATCATCTCCCTACAGCATGTTACTGAGTTGTCAGCATGTGTGAATCCTTATCTGAAGCCAAATGTTTCAGCTAACATGGTAAAAAGTAATGGTCAATGATTTTTCTCTCTTCATTGGCTTGCATGTTTTCTGTAGCAACAGTAAGCATTTATGCCTGCAAGCAAGAAATGTATCAGGAATAGAGTTCTGACATTTTAGTAACTGCATTACAGAAAAATACTAGAATACCACAATGATAAGAAGTCCCGATCTGGACTCCTTTGTTTGTTGTGCTGTATGTTCGAAAATAATACCGCCACCACCTTCCAACGCTACTTTTGATCGGATTCGGGAGTATAAGCCTTTCAGAACACGGTATTACACTCATCGTGACATACTAGGTAAGTTTGTTTCTGAAATCTTTTCCTTGCAACCCGAGGTTTATGAAAACTCCAAGAGCTGTTGTATCCATCTGTTCTTGACAGTCAGGAGGCCATTCAGATCTTGGTTAAGAATGAACTGCACTTAACCTTCTGAATATTAATAAATCCTGCATATTCAGAGGGGGGACAGGGTCAGCCGTCCTGTGGTGCATGGAGGCATTCAGATTTGGGCAAAATGAAGTGCAAAAGAGAATTTGCTGTAAAACCATTAGCAAATGTTTTGTAAGGCTCAAGCAGTTTGGGGAGAACTATGCTTGACTTAACATTTGCAACGATCATCCCCTCATCCTTCAGCAG